GCAGAAGATGACCGAGGCTCCAGTTTTGGCACTTCCAGATTTTGCCAAAGTGTTCGAGGTAAATTGTGATGCATCTGGCGTTGGCATTGGTGGTGTTCTGAGTCAGGCAGGTCGTCTGGTTGCTTTTTTCAGTGAAAAACTATCGGGATCAAAGAAAAATTATTCCACTTATGATCTGGAGTTCTATGCCATAGTTCATTCCCTGAAGCATTGGCGTCACTACCTAGTACAGAAGAAGTTTATTCTGTTTACCGATCATGAGGCCTTGAAGTACATCAATGGCCAACACAAGCTGAGTAGACGTCATGCCAAGTGGGTGGTATACTTGCAAGAATTCACTTTTACGCTGAGGCACCAAGCAGGGAGTTTGAACCGCGTCGCAGATGCCCTGAGCCGTCGTACCTTACTTCTCACCACCATGAGTACTAAAGTTGCAGGCTTTGAGACGTTCACAGATATGTATGCAGCTGATCCTTCATTTGGAAGGATATTTCAGGAGGTAACTGAGGGTCACCATCATGATTTTGTTTTGCATAATGGGTATCTGTTTCGTGGATTACAGTTGTGCATTCCAGATTGTTCTTTGAGGCAACAAATTATAAGTGAACTCCATAATGAGGGACACTTTGGCCGAGATAAGACCTTGGCCCTTATTTTTTCTGACTTTTATTGGCCCAAGTTGACTAGTGATGTGGCCCATTATGTGGACCGTTGTTATGTGTGCCAGCGGTCTAAAGGAGTTCTCACCAATGCGGGCTTGTACACTCCCTTACCTGTTCCTGAAGCTCCTTGGTTCGATGTCAACATGGATTTTGTACTAGGCTTACCCCGCACCCAAAGGGCCTCGGATTCTATCTTTGTTGTGGTTGATAGGTTTTCCAAGATGGATCATTTTGTAGCTTGCAGAAAGACTATGGATGCTGACCGGATTGCCCATCTCTATTTCAAGGAGATTGTGCGTTTACATGGTGTTCCTCGATCCATCACTTCAGATCGTGATACTAAGTTCATCAGTCATTTCTGGAAGAGCCTGTGGGGTAAACTGGGAACGCAGTTGAATTTCAGTAGCGCCTACCACCCCAGACGGATGGCCAGACCGAGGATGTGAACCGAAGTTTGGGAAACCTTTTGAGGTGTTTGGCAGGAACGAAGCCGAAGCAGTGGGATTTGGCATTGCCTCAGGCAGAATTTTCCTACAACAGATCAAAAAACAGAACCACAGGTTTAAGCCCATTTGAGATTGTCTATGGTCAGAACCCATCCGGGGTGTTGGACTTTGCCCCTATTCCACGTATAGGTCGTTTCAGTCCTAAAGCAGATGAGATGGCAAAGTATCTTCGGGGTATCCATGAGCAGGTGAAACAGACCATTCATGAGAGCAATACTAAGTACAAGACTTGGGTCGACAATCATCGTCGTCAGGTACTTTTTGATGTTGGTGATTTTGTTTGGGCTGTATTAACTCGTGATCGTTTTCCTGTTGATGAGTATAATAAGCTTAAGGATTGGAAGATTGGACCTTGTGAGGTCGTGCAGAAGATCAATGATAATGCTTACAGGTTGCGCCTTCCCAGCCGCTTGAAGACTTCTGATGTCTTTAATGTGAAGCACCTGAGTCATTGTTTTGTGGATTCTGATGACACTACTCTGAACTCGAGGATGAGTTCTTTCCAACCCGGGGTGACTGATGCAAGGGGATCCGAGACAGATGATGCTGAGCTATCAGATTGCACCTTGATGGCGCTGAGATACCATGAATTGGCAGATCAGCGCAAAGGCGGGAATTGATTGTGACATGTTCCTCATTGGGGTCGTTTTGAGTATGTTTCAGTCTTTTGGCCATAACTTTGGCTACAAGTGTCAGAATCGCGCATAAGACCCCAATCCGAAAAGCTCTTTTCGACGCGCACGCTCTCCATATCGAGCTATGCTCCATATGGCCTTTTTTTCAACCTTAAATTCTGCCATTTTCCCCTCCAAATCATTAGATTTAGATATTTTTTTACTATTTATGGTAATATTTTGATTGTTAATTAGGAAGTCAATTTAAATCCGATTTAGGACGGATTTTTTGGAGATTGCTTATTTTATTTCGAATTTCAATTTAGAGTGATTTTCGGGATTTTTCTATTTTTGGCAAAATTCGAATAAAGACGATTTTTGGCTATAACAGTTCGGCTTGTGGACTGATTTTGGGCATTGTTTGATTTTATAATATTTTATTAAACCCTAGAGACTTTTTCTCTGGTTTTTTTGGGCGAATTTTCTCTTGTGAATCATCTGTTGGAGCGCCTGCAGGATAATCATTATTCTGTCCGGCGTCAAGAGATCAAACCCATGAGAGGATCTTAGGGTCTCTTCTGGATGTGCAAGTTATGAAGTTTTTGTAATGTTTGGGGATGTTTAGAGCTGATAGAGGCTTTGAATTGAAGAGAAAAGGAAGTACTAGTGGGAACAGAGAAATAAAAAGTTGTTTTCTTTTGCAATATATGGTGTCCAAGGTAGAATCTGAGAGCATTGTCTCTTTTGGATGACGTAGGGGCAAAGCAACATGCATTTTATCTGCAGTTTCTCCAATGGTTCAATCCATCATTTTTCTAACAATGGGATTCTCCCCACCACCCTACATACGCAGCATCTGTTCGTACTCGAGATTTTTAGAAAAATCAAGCCCCTTTTGTACCAGCAACAGGCACCACTAAGTATTCTACTTTTAGACTGGCAACCGAGTGATTGGAGTATATACATTACAAAGTTACCTTTTTTGCTTTGTGGCATGGCAAAGAAACTTTTGAGGAGCCAGAGTAAGGGGGAGATTGATTTGGGGGATAGGTTGATGATGATGACCCACTCCTAAGAAAGAAGAAGGTGACGTGCTGAGTGATCCAAATGAGGGCAGATTACCCTATTTTGGGGGCCTCATTGTTAGCTATCCATATGGCATCCCATCACAATTCTTCTTACCTTTTTGATTAGGTCCCCAGACACACGTGCATTCATTACTGTCATCGTATGCCTTTTTATTCTTAGGCTAATTTAGGTTTCTAGCTAAGCCCCAACACATAGGAAAGTTTTACAATGCAATGCGCTTAATATACAATTAAAAAATGTTATTGATTTTATTATTATTTAAATAATAAAGTCGTTAAAAATTATCGAAAATATTATTATTTTTATTTAAAACATTAATATTTTTTAACATTTCCGGTAAAGTGTTCAACAATAATAAAATCGGTGGAAAAAATAATAAAACCGGTAAAGCGACCAATAATAACAAAATCGGTAGAAATAATAATATTTCCGGTAATTGAAGATAATAGTTCTCCAAGCCAATGCCAAAAAAAAAAAAAAACTAATGTGAAGCAGTGGATTAGTGGAAGTTGACATCAGTGGTGTAAGTGGATCCTACATTCCAATTTTGAGGTGTAGCATTCCAGGCAATGATAGTCTCCTTGGAAGTGTATGAAGTTAGCTTAAAGGAAAGTGATTGGCCTCCAAGAGCTGCAAATGCCTGGTATGTTGCTCCCCAGTTATGGCTCATACTTATCCACCCTGTTTTGCTTCCTTTCACCCACATTTGAGCTATGTCACCCTGCCTCCGACGTTCATCACGTACACCAACAGCCAGTACCCGTTTCCTTGGAAATAAAATCGAATCCCCCTCACGTTTCACACGGAACCCTGCAAGCATTGGAATGCATACAAGTTGATCATGATCAATCTTAAAATTTTAAACTATTATGTGATTTTGTCATTCTGAGCATGTTACACACCTTCTGTACATGACGGGGACAATGCCGGCTTTCCATTGAGCAATTTTCATGAAAGCGGGCTTGGACATGTTAAAGTGGACTTGAGGAGGGTTGCACCAGCCACCGTTGTTGGAGTCTTGTCCCCAATTTGGAGGGCAAATGTTGGTAGCAGTCACTGTGGTATATGAAGCACCAGGGTAGCAGTAGCACCAAGGTGACTGAAGACACTTTATCTGGTAACATGTCCCGCAAGAAAGCCATCGTTGAACAATGTTGTACTCAGAGCAGCCGTGTTGGTACCGTAACCATTGCTAAACAAATCCCCATAACCACAAGCTCCTCCTGTCAAATCAAAATATGCACTTCATCAATTGTCTATCCTGATGAATATTACCAAGGTTTTAAAACGATGATTAGCTATATGGAGGTCTGTATATCAAGAACATACCCATGGTCTCGGAGGCGGTTTCGTCCCCGTAAAAGGTTGTATGGGCAAGGGACCAAGGGCCAGGATGGAACACGACTGGTGATGGATCAGCAACAGAAAATTTGCTGATGATCATTATAAACTCCATTGAAAAGAACTTGAACCTCCATGAATCAAAAGAAGCCATGGTTTACTCTTCCCTTTGAGATTTATACTAAGACGAATAGGAAGAATTCCTGTTGACTAATGTACATGTAATGTTTCCTTTATATGTATATAGTTCGGAATTCGTTTGCAGAAGGATCAAAAACCAAATTTTTGGGTTCGTGACACTCACAAAGATAAGTTCTGTCAAGTCAATCTCAATATGGAAGTGGTTAGGGTGTAATGCTTCTTCCTTCATTTCATTTGTTCATCATGCATGTGTATATTCTAATGATCTTCAACGTGCGTGCAGCTTGTATTTGTGCTCTTTAGTTTTGTTAATCAAAGGGAAGTTGACCATTGTTTTATTTGGTTTTCTAGGGTAAACTATATAGTTAGTAGTATTTGAATTATCAGTTTCGTTTCATTTTAGTACTAAAGCTTTTATTTGTTTCAAAATCATACCTAGTATTTACTTTTTGTTTTGTTTTGGCACGGTTAAAAAGTTAGCAAAAATACTACTAACTGTATCATTTCTATGTCCAAAAGTATAACTCAAGTACAGTCAAGGCTGGCCTGCTCTGCAACTCGGAGCACTGGAGTCTCAAATTATTAGGCGAATTATTGATATTTTCTAAGTTATTCGAGGAAGGATTCTAGTGTAAGCATGATATATACCTCCAATCAAGCTTGGCTTCCTTCAGGCAATGTAATCAACCTCGTTTTCGAATTGTACTCCAATGTGGTTCCACAACTGAAGTGAAAGAAGAGTAGGGAACTTAAAATTTCGCAGCAATGTGGAAGGAAACTCAAAGTTTATGGTTAAATTTTTTTTGTTCCTCATGAAGGAAAAGAAAATGACGGACTTACTTCGAACATTTAAGAGTGTTGGTGGTTCCGCCGTTGGAAATTGATAATATGGTGCCGAAGAAGGATACATTCTCAGTTTCCATGGTTTATAGAACATTATGAGGTTGTTCATGATGGAGAGGGATGAGAATGGGTTTTACCTTTAGGATCAGAGAGTCTTTCACGACCACTTTCGTAAGGGATGTAGCTAAATAAACTATCAAGGGCACAGCAGCAAACCAAGTGAAAATGAAACTGAACGGTTCCGGGAGCTGCAATTCAACAATTAAGATCAAGTACAAAAAAGAAATGTAGACAACGTTTTTGAGGGGAAAGAACAAAGTAATATATTATCCATTCCATGCATTACTTAAAGCGGCAGAACAGATGTAATAAGGTTTACCTCCAAAAGATATGTGATTTCGAATCCAGTGAGATCATCTAGGAAGAAAAACCTGGCAAGATCAGGCCATTGATCGAGTGATTTATAGGGGTAAATCAAATCTTAATTGCAGATGAAAAAGCATACCAAACTAGAGCTAGCCTTCAGGATAACGACCTCGGAATTCAGATTAAAACATTAGTAATGAGAGATAAGTGGGAAAAAGAAACTTACAGTCCTAGTGCAACCACAGTCGCCGGGACATTTAAGAGGAACATCTTCAAATAGTCAACAGATAGGTCACTGTAAACCTATGTGAATAAAGATGATCAGATGAGTACGAATTGAACCATACCATAGGTTTGCAAAAGGAAAATTCCTTGTGCTTTGAAGTTCAAAGAAATATATGGCAGAAGATAGTCAAAACTTTATTGAAAATGGATGGAATATATGCAGTGATCACCTATGAAGCATGCTTAGTTATAACTATTCATGGGTTACTCATAAATACACTAACAACAGTTAGTAGTGCAAGACTATACCTTTCTACTTTGGAGACTGCATCGAGGACCCTCAGCCACGATCTCACTTCCTTCCATCTAGACAATAGTCATGGAGAAAATTAAACAACATTAAAAATAAAATGTTGCATTCCTAGTTTAAGAATTGAAACCAGAAGCCCTATGTTTCATCATTCAAACCAGTAAAGAACACGATGCTGTGTTCAACAGGAAACGTAAACAGAGGATATGTCATGAAGCAATGAATACTCCCCAAGTTAATGTTTTCAATATTTGATATCATTTCTGAGATTGAGACGCGAAGATCATTTTATGTCATCTGAAAAGGACAAAATGCGGAACAAACCTTTAGCCTAAGCTTTAACTCATCGAACTCTTTGTCGCTCATAATTGGCTTTCCGGATACATAAGCCATTGAGGCTTCTAGAAATTTCTGCTCATCAAAACCTGCAAATAGTTGGAAAACAATAAAGTTATGGCATCTTCAAGTAGACTAATGTCATGATTCATTAGCTTATTGGTTGAACAATTGCTTCATAGGAAATTGGACTGTACTTAGCATGACAACACTACTGCCTTCCCACATTAGTTCTTCCTTGAGATTATCGAATTCCTCGTTCGACATGATAGCTTTTCCCTCGTAATAGAATGCCTGCAGAAAACGAGAGGAAGCAAACTTTTTTTCATCCAAACTCAACATCCATATTGAATTTAAGTGGTCAGGCAGTTTTCCCAGTTAAGGCCGCCACTGGTCCGTTCCTTGCCTATGTTACCTGGCCTCAACTGAGCATCAGGCAAGTATGTATCCAACATAATTATACTCTTATTTTTAGAATTTGTTTTTCTATATATTGGGATGATCATAATTATCCTCGTATCTTAATATGCAGTAAGGCTGCAAAACAAGAAAGGAAGCATAATTTTATGTTAGGGATGGTCAACTTGTAAAATTTCTGCATGAGAGAAACAGAATTGAGCAAGCTTACTTGTAGGGCTTGAAGAAACACTAGCTCCATTTCACCCAAAGACTTCTTCTCTTTCTTGTCTATACTGCAGTAGGGAAGAATTTTACTATCGACAACTTCATCTTCGACCTGATCTGCAAATGATGTTGGAATCACCAACGATTCTTCGGCAAATCCAATTGGAAAACGAGTCCTACTAACATAGATAAATCACTGGTGCTCAAATTTCCCCCTAAGAACCAACTAGTTACGAGAATACAAAAGAAGAAGAAGCTAAATTAAGGAGACTAATCATTTTAAGGAATATATTTCAAATATTCTGACAAATTTCGAAGCAAATGAACACAAGGAACATAAAAGAAGGGGTTTTGGCCATGAAAATATGATTGAAACCTTGTTGATCAGCAGTAGCCTCGAAAGGTAGTAAGAACAATCTGCGTCGAACACAAAGCTGCTTTGCATCGGATTGAACCCTGGTAGAGGAAGAAGAAGAGAAACATAGCAAGGGTTTTTGAATAGTGGCAGTGAAGAAACGAGGAGAAAGCGAAGTGAAGGCCAGTTTGTTAGCCATTGATGATGAATAAGGCATAACCAGTGGTGGATTAGAGACATTATTAATTATGAGAATGGTTTTTGATTTTGTTGGAGGGAAGCAGAGACAGCTCAAAGATAAGGCAAAGGAGGAACGTGTGTAGGGAAATGCAACGGTCTTTCCTCTCGCCTTTGCCTTTAAAGGATAAACCATTTTTTTCTTACAAAATCTGCCACGTCTCCACCGATGCTAGTTTCCTAGAATGTCTTGTCCACGTCACTCCTTTGGTGTTTCATTTGGGTAAACTCCATAAATAGTCACTCAAGTATAACGAAACTATTTAAATATATTCAATCAAGTCACTTGCCATTACAATTAACGAAACTGCTGACGTGACATTTAATAAAATTTATATAATTACTCGTTTAATCCTTATTACTTACACAATCTATCAATTTGATCATAATTTTAAATTAATTTAATATATTTTATCCTCCAATCATATAACTTCAAAATCTTTTATATTGTAATATTAACAAATGATACACAAAGAATTATAATTTGATGATTTTGTCATGTCAATTGTCAATTATCTAATGACTAAAAAGATTTTAAAAAATAAATTTTTTATTCGAATAATATCAATTAATTGTTAGAAGTTCATCAATGATAAAATAAATAACATTTTACTTAATTTTATGAAACTTTTAAAATATATCTTAATAAACATCAAAATTGTAACTCAATCTATATGAGACATATAGATATAGATATAAAACAATATTAAATAAAAAAATCAAAATAATATAAAATATTATAAGTATTGTTACTCGAAAAAAATAAATATCAATATCAATAACTACAAAATTATCTCAAACATGTTTCGTTGCTGATCCACCAATTTTCTTTTTTTTTATTTTCTTTACTTATTTTAAATCATCAAATTATAATTCAAAATGCGAAGTTATATGATTGGAGGATAATTTTCTGTGTATCATTTGTTACTATTTCAGTATAAAAGATTTGAAGTTATATGATTGGAGGATAATATATATTGAATTAATTTCAAAGTATGACCAATTTGATAGATTGTGTAAGTAACAATGACTAAATGTATAATTATATAAATTTTATTAACTGTCACGTGATTACTTCCGTTAATTGCTAACGACAAGTGGCTTGATTGAATGCAATTAAATAGTTTAGTGACTTGATTGACAAAATTTCAAAAATAGTGGTCAAAATGAAAAAAAGGAAATAGTTTGGTGTCAACTGTTATAGTTAACCCAAAAAAATAATAATAAATAATATAATAAATATTTTTATTTTAACTAATTTATTTTTAAATTTTTAATTAATTTATAATTATACGTTAATTATTTTTAAAATTTTAAATTTTTATAAATTAAATTACTAATATCATCGTTAATGGTTAATAGTAATGGATGGTCAACGATGCTAATCAAATGTTGTAGGATTTTCTCAAGACATTGTATATCATCATGGATCATCGTCTATCCTATGGATCACAGTTAAATCATGTGTTATGTAAGGACAATAACATGGACATGGTCTATGATAAATCTTGACACATGGCTTATTTATGATACAGTACAATGATGGCCCATATCTAGCACCTGGGTATAAACTGAATTGGGCCGGTTTTAATATTTTTTACGCGCAATCTTCTCTGATTGGCTGACGCACGCACGCACGGTTGTTCTGTTTGTCCACCACCATCTTCTCTGATTCTAAAGCTGCTGCTGGATCAGCAATCTCAAGACAAGTCAATGACACTTCATGAAAATTTCAAAATACCCATACCCTCATCATGTAATTTGTAAGGTTCAGTTCCAAGAAACGAAAATTGAAAAAAAAATATTAGGGTTCATTTACTACAAGCCAGGCCAAGAAACAAAGACTTAGGCAATCACTTGGTAATTCTACTTCAACCCTCTCCTGTTTCTCTTTCTGTTTGGTTTTCCCTCTCAAACATGTATTCGCTTTCACTTCTTTCTTTCCGCTCTTGTTTTTTCGTTTTATATCTGCATGGATTGGTTGCTGAGAAACAATGGTAGAAGGAAAATGTGAGGAATTCCTTTACGCAATTAGTTTTTAATTGTTTTCTGAGACTTCCGTAACGTTGAAGGTTAATTTTACTACATCATTTGTAATTAGTTTTAAATTTACCAACTCCCACTCTTTTGCAATTTGATTGAGCTTCAATTTTGTATCTCAATTTCCTCAGAAGGTTACTTGAAGTAATAGTTCATGTTTGGCATAGAAGAGTTATGTTTTCTTTTACTTTTATTACTTCTTCCCTTCTACCTGTAATTTTTCTCTGCTAATGGCAGAGATTCTTGATACTAACCGCTCTTTATGTTGAATAGTATTGCTAAACTTTACTTTTCCAACTACAGTTGAATTGTCTTGCTGCCGAGTCTGGCTCAAACTTTTTACATTCATGTGCTTGGTAATTGGAGGTGAATAAGGACATGTCTTCTGATACTGCAAGAGAAAATACATCTGTAGTTGATTCGTCAGTGACTGAATGGAAAAATGACATGGGAAATTCAGATGATTTAGGTAAACTTATGGTGCGTGCTCTTCTTGTTTAAGTCATCACCATATGTTTCTACCTTTGACTGATGAGAAATTCGTCTTCCCATATATATGCTTGCATCTTGGAACATGATTTCGGTTCATTGGTTGTAGGCCTAGAATTATCTTAAGGCGGTAAAAGAAGTTTGATGATCTCCCTCCCTCTTTTCCTTGCTCAGAACAAACATATGGCTCTTTGGGACACATAATTTTGAAGTCCTGTTATGCTATTAATAAGAAATATCCATCTATAGTACTCTTGATTGCAAGAAAAATAAAATAACTCTAGGTTTTCTAACATGGATAAACAACAAGAGCAGTCAATGTTTATCAGGTTTGCAGACGTGCAAGGGATGTATCCATCTAAATGGATTATGGTAAAACTTGGTGTTCCACCTCTACTTTCATTGCTGATCGTATCATAGCTCTGTCATCATAACTTAATTTTCTTGCATGTGAATCCATGAAAAGTGAACCTATTTTTTCCTTCATGGTTGTGTAAACTGTAAAGAGAAGACTTTAAACAGGAAACAAGCAGGATAGCGGGATTGAAACTTGTTCACTTCTCTTTGTGATACGGTATTGAGGATATTATGCATTGTTAATGGAGTGAAACAATAGTCTTTTTCTTCTTTTGGTAAATTTGTCCTGGTGGCCAAGCTTTGTTACAATCAGTATAGTTTATGGACGCATTATTGTGAATTCTTATAGTCTACGGAACCAGTAATAAAGTAACTGCCTTTATGAATTTATATTTTCATGTTTTATTCATGAAGTGTCAATCTTGGTTTTGCAGAGAACGAGTATGGCTATCCGATTAGGTCACAAGAACTAGAGCATTTCAAGGTAGCGGACAAAAGGGGCAAATTATGTAATACAAGATATTTCATTATTAAGAGTTTGAACCACCAAAATATTCAACTATCGATTGAAAAAGGAATTTGGGCTACTCAGGTCATGAATGAGCCAATTCTGGAAGAAGCTTTTCATGTAAAATCCCTTTTACTTTAATCATGTGCAAGCATTTGTATTTTTTTACATGTTTTATACTGGGGGGGTTTCTTGTCTTGCAGAATTCTGGCAGTGTTATTTTGATATTTAGTGTCAACATGAGTGGTTTCTTCCAAGGTTATGCCCAAATGATGTCTTCTGTCGGATGGAGACGAGATAATGTTTGGAGCCAAGGAAGTGGTAAAGGTAAACCTTGGGGCCGGAGTTTTAAGGTCAAATGGCTTTGCTTAAATCACCTGCCCTTCCAAAAGACTTTACACCTTAAGAACCCATTGAATGGCTACAAACCAGTCAAAATCAGCAGAGATTGCCAGGTTTCCCTTATGTTAGATGGTATTGTTTGTTTGTTTTCGTAGATAAGCATCCCCCTTTCACGAAGGTTCCGATTCACATTTTCTTTGTAGGAACTACCTCAAGATATAGGAGAAGTTCTTTGTGAGCTGCTTGATGTGAGTAACGATGTGGATGTTTCACTGAACAGGTATCTTCAAGTTATGGTTCTATTGAAATCAATTCGTGAGCCTTGATGAATTTTATGAATTCATTGTGGAATGGTTTTAGCAGGGATGATCTAGCCTCGAAAAGGCCTAGCCTAGAATCTCCATATTCTTTAGGAGATGAAGATAATAATGTGCCTCAATTGCACATGTCTTGGGCCGTTACACCCATGCCTTACAATCCCTGTCTTTATTCACATACGTTGGCTACCGACTGTTTTCCTACCACTATGGGAGCATCAAAAGTTGCAAGTATGAAAAATTCTGACATCAACAGAAATCTCATCAATCTACAAGTAAATCATGATATGTCTACACAATTTGATGCTTGGGTTTATCTGTAGAAAGCCCTCTTGCTAGTACATTGACCGAGGATGATTTCCTTGAAATGGTATAGGGAAACTGTCTATGCTTTATTTAATATTCTGCTTTGAGTTTAATTTATATGCTTTTATTCTAAGTGGATACTTTCTTTGCGGTCATATAAAATGTGATCAGTCAGAGTAGCTAGATTTCTCAGGTTAGTATTTACCAAGTGTCCTTAAACCATAACTTTCCGCTTCTCTTTCTTTACTGGGAAGAATTCAGCATAGTGAATCCTGTCACATCTTCCATGTTCTCAATGTTTTGAGTTTCCTTAATCAACTGCTGACATTAAGATTGGCGCACTTTATTAAACTTTTGCCTGATGCATGACCAGTCTATAGACAAAGACAAAAGAAAAAAAAATGGGAGGACCCTCTCTGCTCGCTTATATCTTAATCTTCTTTTTTATGTCTTACTCCTGACTGTTGCAGACATATGAAGAGTACCTAGAAGCCCATGGCAGAATCAGCAAACAACTATGCCACCATGTCAGTGTACCTGGTTCTGGTTATTTGAGTACTTTTATATCTACTACCTTTATCTCTCAATGCGTTACTGCATAAGTTGCCTAGACAGTCAATTAAATGTGTCAATAATTTAATAAGAGTTGCTTATGTTTATGACATGCTACCACGGGCTAATAGCATCTGTCAAGATGCCCGGGGCCCTATTTTGGACTGTTTAATTGACTGTATTAGAGTTACGAAACACTAAAGGGTAGACAACTATCTCAACTCTGTATGTAAGGAAGTAAATTTGCTCTCTTCAGATTTTCTCTCATACAGGGTCTGGACTTCGTCCTGTACCCTTTATTGCCCTAGGAGCTGCAAAAGAATTCTGAAGGAACTTGTAAAAACAGATGAACTCAAGTTTTATTGTCCCCACGGTTTGGTGTTGGTACTTTTGATTTGTTGTATAAACCATAGCTTGGTCGTGCATTGTTGCAGAAGCACGGAGATATGTATACAGAACCTAATGTTTTTAATATAGTAGTGTGTTGTTGGCAGGTGACGACACCATCTCAGACAGTACAAGAGTCGACAAGTGGAAAGCATGGAGATTATTCGTGAGTTATACAAATATAGTACTGAATATTTCAATTTGATTATTTGCATTTTTACTCACACAGCTTTATGCTTTTGCAGAAACTCAGGTTTGGTAACTGACTATCACCATTCTCGCAAGAGGAAACATAACACACCCTAGGGTTTTTTTCCAGCTCCACTGCAGGAGGTGCATAGTTTGTCCATTTTCATCTGATGTAGCACAAGATTACCTCATGGTGGTTATTTAGTGCAAGTAAAAATTGTTCTTCAATCGATACTTGAGATGCGATTTAGACTCTTAATTTTTTCATGTTGTACACATTTATGTACTTATTCTATGAACTGATTATAGAATTTTTACAAGGGGAAGATTGCAAACTTGTACATAAATCAACGGCAATACATGCCCCAACTCCTTTAACATCGACTCTCTCTCATGCACCAAAATTGCATCTATTTATTAGTTGTGATAAAAAATTATCTGATATACAAGTTGTGTAAACACTACACCAGATTGTCTATTTTACGGTTTAGGGCCCTATTTAAATAGTTATATCTATATGACTATTTAGTTAAATATCAATTTGATGACTGTCAGCATAAACATGTATAAATAGGAATCAAATTTCATTTGAAATGGCCTAATAAGAGACATAACAAAGTTTTTCTATCTCCCTTCCAAGTTCCAATCTTCTAGTATTCATATAGTGTTCTTTAAAGTACTGAAGTTTTCTTCATATAGTTCAGTGGATAATTTTTTTCCAAAATTCTTTTGCACATTAGCATATACGATGAGGTGAATAAAACCTTAAAACACATTTGGTTGCTTTTTTTTTTGTCCATGAGCACATTTTCTTACTCGAACCTTACTGCGATTGGGCTTCTAACAGAGTATTTAGCAGAAACCCATTTGATAAACCCTTGAGCGTATTCACCAGTTTTATTGGTTGAAACTTGGATTAAAAGTTATTGAGTAGGTTGCCTTCTGGTTTAGCTCTGAGAAGTATAGTGTGGTAGGCTCCACAATCACATCAACCCCTTTCGGAGCTATAACCTTAACTTCATATTGTGAATTTGCCACTCCAACATTTGTCACTGTCCTCGTGTATGTCTGAGATGGTCCCATTTTGATAGAAAATGATGGATAGTTTAGCTCTCCTTCCGTATCCTAGGTTCTTCTGAGCACTTGATTGATCTATGTGCAATTTTACCAACTTCCTCATCTTTGTAGCCCAAACCACAAAGATATAGAATATAATCATCAGGTTGGATATCGTAGATGAATCCTGGGTTATCCGCCCGACATGGATTAACATGGCCGGCACCGGTAGCAAAGACATTGGCAGGCTGCAATGTTTCATCAACAATGGGTTTGCCTTCAATATTGAATAGGTCAGTAGAAGTCATCATAGCAGATTTAGTGGCAGCTGGTGACCAGTTAGGATGCGAGCTCTTGAGCAAGGCTACAATGCCACTGAGATGAGGGCATGACATTGATGTTCCAGACATGAATTTGAAAGTGGATTTTGAGTTCATGTTATTGTCTAGAGGAAATGGCCATGCTGCTAGAATAGAATATTCACGCCTAGAACGACAATGTCCGGTTTCAGAATTCCAGGGCTTGCCAGGCTAGGGACTCTTGACGAAAAGGAATAAACAGATGGAGCTGTCGGATCTCCTAAGACGGTTCCTATAAATAAGATTGTCGCTGTAGGTGCTGCTGTTGAATTTATGTAAGCTTTTATCCTCAGACCAGCTGCATAGCTTACTTGGGTTGCTGGAAGAACATGAACATCAGGTGAAAGACTGAAGGCATCAGCTTGTTGATTCATGATAATCATGGCAGCACCACCAGCAATTTTCACTTCCTGTCCTTAGGCAACTCTTGCTATTCCACGTCCTCTTTCACATAAAACCACCTTGCCTTTGACATCTATATCTTTCAGTGTCCCCTCACCACAAATGCCGATTCTTGTTTACCATTTATGCCGGCATAAACAAGTGGTAACTGCTTGGAAGGAAAGTCATTGGGTTGGAAATAGGATTCTCCATCAAATTATTCTCCATTTCCAAGCTTTTCCGTGGCTACAACTTTTCTATCTATGGTGCTTGCTCCAACTGTGAGAAGCCATGGGGCTTCATTTCATAATGTGGTGTTGGAATGGGCCGGAATTTCCAGCTGAGCAACTAACAAATATCCCCTTCTGCATTGCTGCAAATCCGCCTACAGCTATGCTGTCCCAGAGAAAGGGAACAGCTTCTTCACCAAGAGAGATTGAAAGCGCATCGACACCTTCCTCAATAGCAGCATCGAGTGCAGCTAGTACGTTCTCTCTGCAGTCTGCTCCAAAGCATACTTTATAATTTACAAACCGACCTGCAGCCGTGCTGGCTGTATGAGTCCAAAAAGTTACTAGAAATAACTTTCCTTTTATCTTTTTGACACTTTTAATTATTTGGACAGAATATATATTTCACCTTAATTTGATAAAAAGAGGTTAAAAAATCTCAGAATTCTGACACCAACATCCTCTGTCCCTTTTTTATTAAAATAATTTGGTTGGAAGAGAAATTCTTACACTTTCTTTTATATCAAATGGTGTCTTTTTCATAACAAATAACATGTTAGAATGTTGTATGTATTATTGGTGAGGTCAAATTAATATTGGGTATGAATATTTTGAAGTAAAAAATTCATAAGATATGTTTGATAAAACATTGAAAGGATTCATTGGTGAAGGAGTTTCAGAAAATTTTGATGAAATATTCTATACCAAAGAATCTGATTCCAAGTCTGCTATGAAATGATGTGTAAATGGAAAGATAAAAAAACTTGAAAGCTATTCTCGAGATTTGATGATGTAAATATTTTTTTCTTTTGAAATCTACATCAATTTTATTTGATGTTTTTTTTTGTTACAAAGATAGCACTACCAAAGCAGTGGAGAGGCCAACTCCTCACTCGGTCATGTCCATTGTGAGAAGGCTTCTTACTCAATCAGGTGGAGTCGCTAAGATGCAAAGACCAGTATGGTTATTTCTCTCCACGTGAGCCAGCGCGTCAGCAACACCATTGATTTCCCGAGAGATATGGGAAATTCACGCTTTCCATTGTCGTTGGATCATCATCCTGATTCTTCTAAAAAGAGTTATCTCATTTGAATAATGAATGCCATTAATTACTTCCACTGATTCCATATTATCCATTTCTACCTCGATATCTTTGAACCCATGGTCCCATGCAATTTCCAAACCATCGCAGAGAGCCTAGAGTTCAGCATAGAGCGTTGTACATTTACCAATATTCCAGTGGAATCCAATCAATCAGTTCCCAGCACTGTTACGGACGACACCGGCCCCCGCCGTATTCATTGTTCTATGGTCCATACTCAATAGCTCCGTTAGTGTTGAGCTTAACCGCTCCAGCTCAAGGTGTGCCCAACTAAGTCTCCTGCTTTGGGATGTCTGGGGTTCCGAAGAACACTTTGGTTAATGTGTATTGTTTGAGCCCACATTCTTACCGATTGGATGATTTCCAACGTCGACTAAACCTGTCCTTTGTAGACAAAATTGTTGCGTTGTTTCCAAAGTCTCCATACGAGTATTCCAAACAAATGTCTTCAGCCGCAGTCCACTCGATCTAATCCTGCATTATTAAAAATATATTAGAGTGGAGCCAATCAAATAAAGAGATGGAGAAGAAACTTCCCTTGAGATGATTCGGAATGAGTTGCTCCCAGATTGCGTCCGATGTAGGGCAATCACGTAACACATGAATTATAGTCTCTTCGCCGTTATTGCACACCGGGCATCTTGGATCTGTCACCAACTCTCTCTTCATTCTTTCATCATTGGTCATGATTCTCTTATGGAGGATTAGCCAAATAAAATGTTTGATGCAGTGAGGGCCATCAAACTTCCAGGCTAAGTTCCAAGTGCCACTTTAGGTCTCCCATTTCTTGCGGTTGAACTCGTGGAACGCCGACTTCACAGTGCAGATTCCTTTAGGGTCGCATCTCCACATCAGAATGTCCTCATCCACACTGTCACAAGGAGAAAGGACAATGGTGATCCCTCCACCGTATCATTATCTAGAAGGCTATGGATCTTCTGTAAATTCCACTCGCCATCCCTATTGACATAGTCATGCACAACTTCATGGGTGTCGATTATCCCATCCAGATGCATAGTGGTAGCAAGGAAATCCATGCCTGGGATCTAGGCATCGTTCCAGAAATTGACTTTCCTACCATTCCCGATCAACCAACAAACATTCTCTCTAATAAGCTTCCAGATACGAGTAAGGGATCGCCAAATGAATGAGCATTTGCGGGCATCAATATGCGTTGGCAGCATGTCATTGATTTTATATTTAGACCTAAGGACACGAACCCAAAGAAGGCTCGATCTCATTATTAGGTTAAACCCCAACTTGACCAGGAAAGCTTCATTCTGGTTTTGAAGAGGTCTGATCCCCAAGCCCTCATGAGTCAGCGGCCTGACAACAATTTTTTCCAGCTGACCAGAGCAGTTTTTGGGTTATCCATGAACCCCCAATATAAATCTTCGAGCAATATGTTCAATTTTGTCACAAACACCCTTAGGACTCGTCTTCGTCTGCATAAAGTAATTAGGGATTGCCAATTGTTGAGAGTTACTGCACAGCAGATCCATGCATGCTCCCATGCATGCTCGTGCATTGGATGGTTGAGATGATTCTAGAAATAGTCTAGAAGCAAGTTGGTTATAAGTTTGTTATTCTTAGCTGTATAACAAAATGTTGTTAAGCAGTTTTTTAAGCATTGTAAAGGTTGCTATATAAGATGATGTATAGGAAACGTGAGACTTCACTTCATCTTCTTTGATTGAATAAAGAGTGTGCATGAATTCTTGAAGTATGGCTGCTTTCTTACATGGTATCATTCGTCAAAGATCCTGACGTCATCTTTCTTCCGTTGTTTCCATTTCTTTTTTTTGATCGAGTTCCTCAATCGCTTCAAAGTTTCCTCTGTCGCCTCCTTCTCAGTTCTGTCATCAACGACTATAGGGCAAGATCGAGACCGATTTGTCATAGATTTGCGCCGGAATTGAAGCTCCTTGACGAGAAGCTTGTTCTGGCTGCTGGAACCGGTGATTCCAAGGTGTTTTACCTGAAAATGAAGGGGAAAAGAAAAACAAACATAAGCTCTTGCAGATTCATGGCGAAGCTAAAGGCAAATGTACTGCTCAATGCATTCATTGCTCTTTTCTTGATATCAACAGCCACCGCCGCTGGCGACTCCCTCTTTGTCATCACTCACAAGAAGGCATCGCTCATCAGACTTAAATCCGACGCTGAACGCGTTTCCGTCTCCATCGAAATCTACAATCAAGGCTTCTCAACAGCATATGATGGGAGTCTCGTGGATCATAGCTGGCCTCAA